CCTTCCCGCCGAAACCGTGGGACCGGATACAGCCTGCAAATATTCCCATAGGTTTTGTCTGTATCACCTTTGGTAAACACAGCTGAGTGTGCTAAGAAAGTGTTCAGATTGCAGATCATTTGGGACTAGGAACAATGAGAAAGGGAGTTTTCCCATGTCACTTTTTTTTTTTTTTTGCAAGCTCTCCTAACAGGCCTGTTTGGCTAACTCAGGAGTCCCCAAACTTGCCAACTTCAATTCTGGAAGTTGAAGCCCACAAGTCTTCAAGTTACCAAGTTTGGAGATCTCTGGCCTAACTATTTCCTTAGTTCCTTAATACTCCAATTACTGTATTGTTTTAGCTGGAGTAGAAACATCCTTCTCATATTTGTTCTCTGAGTGTGAAATATATACTTCTAATGTATACTTCCTGGCCTTCAGTATTGATTTAATTGTCTTAATTTTCTAGTCTCGATTGAGTCATGGCATTCACAACACCAATTGTGTATAGAAATCACGCGTCGTTTATTCTGACTAACTTTAATTTCTAGATGAAATAGAGAGATATAATGTTATTAGGGCCGGAAGCTTGCAAAACAAACAAATACTGTATATTGAAAAAATACACCTTTCTTAGTGCTTTTGTTTTTGTTTTTTTAACACAACAAGGGTAGTTTAATTTTGTTGATGATTGAATTGTGTTGTTTTTGGAGAGGAGATACAATGTTGTAAGAGGAAACAGTATGTGTGTGTGTATTTGTGAGTGAAAGAAATTGTAATTCTTTCACATTTCTTAACCAGCTTTTCTTAGAATTCTCTCCTCCAGTCTCAGTTTGCAGTATTAAATGCACCAATTTCAAGTTAATATAACGAAATCATGAACTGGATTTATGCCAGTTTAAAAACCAGCTAGTCCAAACAAAGTAAATTGGGAATTTGTATAGTTGTTGGAAATGGCAGATTGTATAAAACTGGTTTTATATGAGCTTAAATGCATGCTTGGTTTGAAAAGAATTTTCTTAGCAGTGTGCATAGAAATAATTCCAAAAAGTACTATAGTTGGATTTTCAGCAAAGATCTCCAAACTTGGCAACTTTAAGACTTGTGGACCCAAGAATTCCCTAGCCAGCCATGGGAATTCTGGAAGTTGAAGTCCACAAGTCTTAAAGTTGTCAAGTTTGGAGATCCCTGGCATAGAGATTGTGTGCTGAGAGTTTACTTCTTGCTTGCTATAATTCTTGTTTTTCAATGATATGGGAAATTATACCTTTTGGAACATTTGGTTATTAGGTTTATATCCTACATTTCATTCAGGTCACCCAGGAGATATACAGAGAACTCACCCCTTCCATTTCTTACCAGAACAACCCTGCGAGGTAGGCTGGTTGAAAGAAATCCAATCAATGGGAAAGTAAGACTATAATAGTACACTTGGATGTACAACCAGACAGACTGAAGTCCCACTGATAGACATGTGGGGTTAAAAAGAAAAAAATCGTGGCATGGCAATCATACCTGAGTTATCCAACCGGAGCATGTAAAAAAATTGATGGCATGGTTGTGGCCAGTATAATGTAGCCAGTTTTGCCCTCCCTGGAGTCCAAGTAGGGTGGATATGAGTTGCCAAATATAATAATTAATCTTTCTGGCTGTGCTTCTGTGACTACTTCATTGCACAGAATTGCAGATGGAGTAAATACAGGCATTCCGACGGTTCAGGGGAATAAAATGAAAGCATTTTCCTAAGATAGGAGGAGAAACCTCAGCAGCGATAAGAGAACAGAAGCACCTGGCCCTTATAAACTCTGAGAAAAATCTCAACCAATTAATGAGGAAATTCCAAACAGTTAGTAGAAGAAGAATTTATATTTTCCTTTGGTTATTACAGGGGTAGTCCACTGTTATTGATATTCTTATGTAATGCTGGGATCGTCTGAGACAATTGACTCAACCCCCACCTTGCAAGCAATGGAAATAAATTCTGGGCCCAATTGTTGACATAAGTCAAGTACTACCAATATTCTAATTCTACACAGGAAATCCTTGACTTACGACCACAATTGAGCCCAAAAATTAGGTTGCTGAGAGAAGACATTTGTTAACTGAGATTTTTTTTGCGATTTTTCTCATTGTTAAGTGAATCATTGCAGCTGTTAAATTAGTAACCTGGTTGTTAAGTGAATCTGGCTTCCCCCATTGACTTTGCTTGTCAGAAGGTCATAAATACGAGTCCGTTTCCAAGTATCTGAATTTTGATCAGGTGACCACGGGCATGTTGCAACGGTCATAAGAATGAAAAAAGGGTCATAAGTTACTTTTTTCAGTGCCGTTGTAACTTTGAACACTAAACAAATTGTTGTAAGTCAAGAACTGACTGTATATTAATGATGAGAAATGGGTTTGTAACCTATAGTTACTTGCCAGAGGACAAGCCAGCTTCTTTGAAACTTAGTTCTGAAGTTTTATCTCTTTATCTAGCAACCCATCCATCCATCCTATACCGTTCTGCATTCCTTTGCAAGCACGATACAAAATTCTGCCTGAAAGATTTGATTTCAAATTGTTCCCCAGAGAGTCCTCATCATTTCCAAACAACATTTATGAACCCGAAATACGTCTGTCTGTCTCTCTCCTTCCAAAACATTTTGATGATGGATCATTCCACCCATCAAAGAGCAGAACTTAATAGAAAAATCAAATTGCTGACTCAGTTTTTAATCCCTGGCCCTTAAATTGCTAGAGTTGCATATTTTCTATCCCGTTAAAAGAGCGAGAGTGTAATTATGGAAGGTTTGGACTAATTACCATCTTCTGCAATTGGGAGGAGGGAAAGGGAAGTTTGTGAGCAGCAATCTTAACGTATTCAACAATCTTAATATTCCAGAAGCTTTTCGGAGCAGTTCTTTGTGAGCCAGGGAAAAAGAAAATAGCTGATAATTAGCAACACTTTATTTCTTTGTTGGTTTGAATCCTGCCTCCAATTCATGATTCTGGGCAGCCGACAATATTTTAAAAATTGCACCGTTTTCCTATGTTGCAATGTTAGAAGACTAGGTTGATGGGCTGCCTTAAGCCGTGATGTGGTTTGTTTTAAACTTCATATCGCTTATTTTAAACCACAAGTGATATGAACCTAACATAAGATATCCTTTGCCCGTTGTGGTCTACTACAATACATTTTTGACCAATCATCAGGAGTTTTTGTCTGTGGATTCAAATGTAGGTTACCCTGAAGGGATGAGGGGCTCCTTACAGTTGTAGCTGGAATTTGTCATTGAAACAGACATTGCCTTAATTCTTCTTATCACCCCTGTAACATTCCTTCGGCTTTGTAACTTTTGAGTGGCAGAACAAAAAATTATCTAATTTTAGCTCCTTAATAAACCGAGTGAGAGTTTTGCAGCCCATTTGCTGTTCTCCCTGCCAACAAGTGAAAAACTCTGTAACACGTCCCAATTAAACATATTTGCCTATACAGAGGTGTCTGGGAGATCAAAGGCTTTTGTCAAAATGATAAAAGAAAGGTTGCAAACTCCACCTCTCTCATGCTTTGTGTTATGATGTTACCACATCGGATTTGTTATCCTCCCCTACCTGCCCATGAGTATACAGCCAGCTCAGCTTTTAACCTGCCTGTTCAATCTAGACCACAAATTTAATACATCCCTAAAGCCTTAAATATTAATTATTTCTGCAAGGACCTTCTCGTTTCTTCCCATGTCTTTTTCTCTTTTCTCAGTTTATCGTTGTTCTTTTTTCTTCTGTTAGACTACCATTGTGGCATTGTTTCTATCACGTTAACTTATCAAAGAATAAAAACTGTAAAAATAAGGCAAGTGAACAAATTGGTTTATGTTTAACATTAGCTGCCTGTTTCTTTTTCACGCCAGGTAGGACTCGAATGTTGTTGGACCAAGCTAGGGATCTCCAACTTTAAGACTTCTGGACTCACCTCCCAGAATTCCCCAGCCAGCCATGTTGGCTGGGAAATTCTGAGAGTTGAAGTCCACAAGTCTTAAAGTTGCCAAGTTTAGAGACCTGTGGACAAAGCTCATTTCAGGAGAAAGACCTTTATATTTTATCTTGCTCCAAATGCAATTGCTAATCATTTCAGATAAAGTCCCAACTGTGATAAACGTTTCCTGATTTGGTTTCTCGTCCTGCCTTCTGTTTCAGTTTAGGAATTTCAGATCCAGCCAGGACATCTTTAGCACCTTAAGGATGAACATGTTCCTGACAATGTAAACATTTTTTTAAGAGTCAGACCTTTTCCCTTGGATACCAGAAAATGTTGATTTGTTTTCCACATGCCTGGAATTCCAAGCTGTCCATCTCTTTGTCAATTATTCCTCATTATTGATTGCTCCACATTCTTGCTGCTGAAAGTGCTCTCTTGTCAAAGGAATGTGGCTTTATGGTGTTGAGAAGGCCATGCCGTAATCCTATACGTCTCAACTCGCTCTGTACAACTTTGTATGCAGAATTTCAGCCGCCAAAAGGAGAATTGGATAAAATGAAGGAGGAGTTGATACAAATTGGCTAGCATTAGATTTATTTCACGGAGTGATTGGAGGCCAGTGGCTTTCTTAGAACTCGAGTCACCTGTTAGGGCCATGTGGAAATGAAATTCGAAGAAAGGTAGAATGCACCTAGTCCAAATAAATAAAAGTGTCTGATGCATAGGATCATTGTGAGGTTGGGCACACACAAAAGGTACAGAGAATGAGTTGTCGGTTCTGTTATTTCAGCAAATGAGAGCACAATGTTCTTAACGCTGTTGTGGCTTCTTAGCCAGCCTGCTACTAAATTCAAGATCCACTACACCCATTGTCCTGAGTCACTGAAATTATTTATTTTTGCTAGTTATATAATCACTTGTTAATCTAGTGGTTGTTAGAATTAATGACAGACGATGAGCTTCAAATGTAAAGTTCGGCTATAACTTAAGATCACAATGTGCCAAAAATGAACTTAAGCAGAGGCTTTGAAGAACAAAATCTAACTTTAATCAATCAACAAGGTTAGGGTAAGACCTTTTCTCACATACACACAAGATAGATATGTGAGGAAGGTTACAAAAGCATATAGAAAAATAAAGCCTTCTTATACCTTTAAGATTCTTTAGAAGTAGAGTAACTGCATTGTAAAACACTCTAACTTAGGTATAAGAAAACAACTGCCTAACATCAAGATAAGACATGCCTATAGAGTAACTCTCTACTTAATGCTATTGTATATTTTACTGCATTTCTTTATTTATTATCCTTCAAACTAAATGGCAACCTTTATAGGTTCTTTTCATTTTTGATCTTTTTTCCCTTTCATCCTTTTTTTCCCCAAGGTTTTTTTTTTTAAATGTTCAGTGCAGACTTTGGCTTTAAAAAAAAAAAAGAATTATTTCCTCCAAAACAGCACCTCTTTGTTAGGCAGACGGCCAGAGAATGTTTAACTTGAAGAGTTCACATTAATTAATTAATGATTGATTTATGAAGGGGTTACTGTCTTCTCATCTCCTGAATATGCAACTTGCTATCACTCCTTTTGTTAAAGAGTGCCTGCATCATCATCATCATCATCATTATTATTATTATTATTATTATTATTATTATTATTATTATTATTAT